TAGCCATCATATGTTATGTTCAACAGGCATTATATCCAAGTAAATAAGACTGTGCATGGAAGTACAGATGATCGTAAATTACACATGAACACTTTTTTTCCTATACATAACCATACATAACCTAAGGACAGTAAACATTCATGTATGTAATAAGAGGAAGATGATAAAGGTTGTGTACAGATTGCTCTCCATATCATATAGTGGGTGATCAATACAGGTAGCTGTATGTGTGTGATAATCCAATCCTTAGTGAATCAAATGAAGTTGTGAAATCTTGTTAATAAGCTAACTGATACGACACTGTTCTCTGCACAGTGATTTCGATCTTAGCTATTGGGAAAAGTCAATCAGTAGAGATTCCTGAACTTAGCAGCTTTTGTGCTTGTTGGCGCCCATTAGGTACAGTTGATTTTAGTCACTTAGGGAGGCGTTGTGGACTACCTGGCGCTGGGTTGTTCGACATGCTAAAAACTGACAGTGTGTGTGACTGTTATTAACATTGCTCAAAGTCGTTCTCAATGGATTTAACCTTTATGAACTCCCAGTGTAACGGTAGAAGGCGTATCCTAATGCTTATTTGGAATTTGATATCTTTGTTAAAACTGTCGTTTGCGCAGATCTGTGTTGTGCTACTTCTACTGTTCGTATTGTCTTCTTTTCACGTCTCCCATGCTTAACGGCAGCTCTGGTTCATTTGCTCTATTTGAAGTCAATTCTATCACTCAACTATTTGTTATTTTTATGCTGATGAATGTCTCTTTACATATACTACTGATAAATCTTGTCAATAAATAGCACACGCGGCACTTGATCCATCTAACTCTCATCAATCTACAGATATTTATTCTCGCTTTCCGTCTCTCTCTCTCTCTGTTGCATATCCACTCATTATAAGTTCCTTTAAATTTTTATTCTTCGCTACTTTTGTCTGCATGGAATGTGGCTGCTTGAACTGATGTAAGCACTACGCTGAAATCCAGTCAGTCAACTGTTATTGGCCCTAAAGTAAAAAAAATACCGTAAATCACTTAAATGATGCTGTTGACCAGCGATCAGTTACTTCAAAAGTGATGCAGTATAGAATCTGAGTTACTAATGTGTTAAGTTGAGTGTTTTCTTCCCCCACTTTCCACTAGCCCCATTATTTCAGATTTGTTAAAAAGCAAAGAAACTATGGAAAATAAGTTTAAAATTTTTTTGTGGGGGTGAGTGGGTAGTTTAGAAATGTAACATCGACATAATCAGTTATCATGTTTTTTAAAGGTTAAAATGACATATTGGATGATACGAATATTTAGGAAAAATGAAATGTCAAATATCATTAGTTTGACGATATTCCTTCATTCTAATTAGTCTTTTTTTCAGTGCTTGGGCGTAGTATAAGTATTCAGTGGATTATTTTATAATACATCAGAATATATGCTATTAGTACTACTCAAAAGTGTGAATGTTGAGTAAATCCTGTGTTTGTCTCTGGTGTCCTGGTTGAGATATCTTATTGTGAAATTAGCTGTTCATTATCCAGTACTATTGACTGCTTTCATAAATAGGATTTGGTGAGGTATTGTTGTCAACCCAACTGGTATTCATTATAATAACACTGTTGTGTATGAAATTTGTGATTCCGCAATTTCCGTAATCGTCATTTAAGTGGTTTTCTTTTTAGATAGAGAGATAAAATTTGGTCTAAGTGGCAATGTAGATTTCTTCACAGAGTGAAACTGATTGGAGAATTATTGAAAGCTGTGGATCGCTTACTGGACAGCTGTTTCATCCTGTTTCTGGACTGTTCCACAGTTTCCCCCCACTTTGCATTCAGAAACCGATTTCAAACTGGGATGAGACAGATGTCCAGGAGTGCTCCTTGCTTTTCAGTGGTTCTTTAACTGTTTATCGGTTTACCACGAAATTCACTTTGGAAATAGATCATAATCCTGACGAAACATAATATCATCACATCGAATTCTGGTTTTCATTTTCAGTGAAACTGTTTTGAACTACAACAAATTGTTTTTGGTTTTTCATCACTTAAGGAAATGAATTTGAAAACAAAAATCTTAGAGAAACCAAGAAGCACAGGATATAAGTTTTATTATATCCTAGAGATTCTGTAACAGTGGAACTCATCTAGAAACTGTAGAAGCGATTGCTTTACAGCAGCAGTATAGTGTTTCTTGTTAGTGTTTCCTTTTTTCACATACTAACCCTTGAATATAAAATCGGTTTTATTCTGTAATCTACTCATAAGTAGTGTAGTGTATTTCTTTGAAAACGTCATCCATAAGATTATTGATTTCAGACGGTATCTTTTAATTATGCTATACTTGTTGTGTTAGCAACTTGGTATTTATTATTGTATAAATGGGGGATGCACTTCTGTTTTGATACCATAGTGTGTTGTTTAATCCTTGAACACGCACACAATGTTAGTCATCAATGTGTGTCCCATTCTACCTATTCTTTCTTTTTGTGTAATTAGTGTTATCATGTTGGTAGAAGTGAATAGCAGTAGTGGTAGTGGCAGGTAGACTATGCTCCTTACTAAAGTTAAGTTTTCAGTGTATCTAGATTTTGTTTAGATTATCTATTACTGATCCTGATTTGACCACTTGTGTAAACTGCTGTTATTGGGTCTTCTTTTGATATTAAAATGAGCTTTCAATTATTTCACAGTAGACTTTACCATAAACATGCTTTCATCATATTGAAATTGGCACTGAAAATTAAACTGTCCACCTTAGACAATACAGATACGCTAATATCCCGACCTGAGCTAGAAATCTTCTGCATGACTTCTAAGCATAAATCGATTCGTTCGTAATGGACCTAACTAGTGGAATCATCAAACTCGTCCTCCACCACAAACTCTACAATTTAATATCAATAATTAACACGTAAACTGAATATCTTCAAGATGAATGTCCGAAGAAAATCCGATGGAAAATTCCTACCCCAAAAAGATGGTCTACATATATCATCTATGGTGACTGAATATATATATATATATATATATATATATATATATAGAAGATGATTTAATCAAATACGTATTTTCGGTAAATTTTCATCAGGCCTTACATTTACATAATGAATTTATTAGTCATAGGCATCTGAAATAATGTGGTTAATCAGAGTTCACAGATGTAAAATTAATCGATAACAGTCGAGGTGGTCGGTATAAAAATAATAATAATATATTATTTTTGTGTCCTTTAATTCCTAGAGGAACATAGGGCTTCAGCCATGCGTCTCCATTGCGTTCGGTTCTTTGCTAGAGTCTTCACCTGGCTCCATGTCTGCCCACACGTTTTCATCTCCTCTTCACATGACCTCCTCCAAGTCACCCTTGCACTAACAACCAACTTGCCGCTTCCTTTTCGGGTTCCACTCGAGGGCTTGTCTAGTGATGTCACTTGATGGTTTCCTAAGAGTATGGCCAATCCATCTCCATTTCTTCCTGTCTATTTGTTTCACAATCGGTTCCTGGTTGTTTCGCTCATTGCCAGAGATCTCTGTTGCTGTTGCTGTTGAGTGTTGTTGACCTCCACACAGACTTGAGAGTAGTGAAAGCTTGTCTTGCTTTTCCGATTCTTGCTTTGATATCCTCGTCCGTTCCGCCTGTAGTTGAAACGATGCTTCCCATGTCGGTATGTAAAAGAGGTTGTTTCTTTTAGGTTCCTACCATTTATGCTGATTGATAATAAATTCGTTCAAGCGTTTATATAATCTAGGCTATGGTGAGTGTGTCGGTGGCACAACGGTTAGGACGCTCACCGACCATTCACATGGTCTGGGGTTCGACCCTCGGCCGACGCATTGCTTTACCTCACTGAGACAGTAATAAAGCTGGTAGAGAGGAAAGGTTGGAAATGAGACTAGCAACCCCATTCTGTAAAAATAAACACTGCTACAGAAACTTCAAGCCTCTAGCTTGAAACCCTATGTTCCACTGGGAACATGAAGGAATAAAAAAATGGTGAGTGTGTGGCTAGAAGGTTTATACTAATAGGGGTAAAAGGGGAAATAACTACTCTTATATAGTGATTAGATAACATAATAATAGTAATAATAATAATAATAAATTGTGAAACGGAGATTAAAATGTACGATCACAGCACAGCTTGATATTGATACTACAGTCAACAGTGCAAATAAAAATATAACAAAATAATGAGATAATATTTACCACGAGAGGTAGTTATTCTAGTTTGGGAGTGAAAGCCAAGGGGGGGAGGAGAGACTGGACAAACTTTTTCTGAACACAGAGATTGGGTTGAAAAATTTCCATTTAATTCAGCTTGGCTTTCCCGTTGATTGATTGGACCGAAGTGCTCGGCCTCAAGGTGATATGTTGGCTCCTTGTGCAGATGCTTTCGACGATGTTTGATTATTTAACTTGAAGTAAATTAGCGAATGGTGACTAGCAGAGGAATCTAGAATGTTCATTTCGTCCTATTTGCGACTCATCATCTGGATGTGCCTGAAATCCCCAGTATGTGAGTGATGGTGCTCCCACTGAGGCTCGAACCCAGTACCAATCGTTTCGAACGCCAAAGTGTTATTCACTGGGTGGGGGTGACTTGGATCACAAGAGTTAAATCTTGTTCAATGGGTGTTAGTAATTGTTTGATTTAGTTTTTATCTGTAAAAATTGGTTACTGTGGTGGCAGTAGATAACTTCATATCAATTTGTTTACAATATGAATCACATAGTCTGACACTATACATGCTAACGATTCTGTAACACTCCGAGATGCCGCACTGTACTGCTTGTTAAAATAACTGACATACCTCTTGCACGAGAGGCAACAGAATAAGTGTGAATACCTTTGAATACTTTGACCGATAGGTTCGAATTTCAATGCGAACATCAGTCGCATCCAGCTTGAAATTCCAATTTTTCAGCCACCAAAAATTAACTGTTGTCCTCTGCTATTTTCTTACTGCCTGTTATTTAATTTGTCTTTTCTTCTACCACTTTTTCATTTTTTTTTCTATAGGGATTTGATTTAGGCTCTTCTTTACTGGATGAAGTATTCAAATGTTTCCAAATGGATAAGCCTACTGAGAAAGTGAATAACAATGAAACTGATGAGAATAACAAAAGTGAATTGATCAGCACAACGAAAGAGATCGGTAGAGAGCATTCAAGTAATCCCATTCAACAATTAGATTCTTTGAATTGTCTTGGTAACAGCTATTATGGTGATGAGGGGGGAAATAGTAATATTAATAATAATGTTAATGAGACAAGCGATTTCAGTAGCACTTTGAATAATAATTCTACAAAGTGAGTTGTTTGATTCTGTTTTATTATTATTAGTAGTATTTAGTTTTATTGTTATTGATTTCTTCGCTTTCCATCATTCTGATTAAGTCATTTGGTAGTAGGATGTTTCGTTCTCACATATATGTGTATATAAATACCAATGTAACCACATAAGAGAATGAGCAGTAAGTTAGTTATATATCTTTTGTGTCAATGACTGAAAGTGGAACCTAAGTTGTAGGAGGATCCCCATTCAGTTGCCCCTGGATTCCTACTATCCGGGCTCTAAGACCCCGTCGATAAACATGCCATCATTTTCCTGCACTCATCGTGTTTAATGCCATGCTGTTTATCTAACCATTTAAATTTTCTGTCAATTATAGTTATAATGAATAGGAAGGACAAGGTTCGGGGGTTAATTCATAGGAAAACCATATCTAAGATAGTTTACAAATCATGATCATTGGTTGAAAGTGAAACTCGGTCTCGTAGTTCGGTCTATAGAACTCTGTTCGAGTAATCTAGAGGCTGTTGGTTCGAATCTTGTCTGAAAGTTCTAGTTTTCATTTTACCATCAATCAGTTGCCATTACATCAACAGGAGCTTATCATTACAAGGCGCTATCTCAAATATCCTCCTACATTGATGGTTAAGCGGCAGAGTGCTCTCCATGGTTTATGCTAAACAAATCACGGTGGTAAAGAAGCCTATCTTCATTGAACTCGATTTTAAAAGTGATAATATTGCAGGAACAATCAACAGACGATTGAATACGTCACTAACCAGCTAAGTTGGTTCCCATTTACCGAGCAACTTGCTTTTTGGTGCAATCAAAAGTCGACAGATATCCTTCTCATGTTTACTCCAACTGTGTATACAAATTTAGCGTGTATCTGTGGGAGCAGTTACATAGGCAGCACAGAAAGAACGGGATACCTCCGATTTTCTAAACATGTACCAAAAAGCCTACTTCTCAAGGGAACAAGTGATGTCAACAGCTCCATCGCCAGGCATCTCCTTGACACGGATCATTAGGTGGAAGTCACAAAATCGTTCGAAATTATCAATAGTTAAAAGAGTTCAGTCCTCCACAAGTATGCCGAAGCAATCTCCATCAAGTGCCTAAAGCCCGATTTATATGTTTAGAAAGAAGCAGTTATCAGTCTTTGCTTGCCCTAGTAACTGGATGTTTTCATCCTGTCTTTCAATCGATTACATGACGCTGAAAAACCCCATTGTGTGTGATTATTATTGTCTCGAATAAAGTCATTATTATTTTTACTATTGTATGCATACATTGGTTTTTCGTTTAAAAGTGAACTCTCTGTGTAAGTATGTTGAAATTGTTTTTCTACATAATGTCTTTGGGCTGTGAGCAGCAACTGATGAGAAGCCAATGAAATAAACATTTTATTCTGCACAAACCACTGTTACTTTTGCTTAACTCAAATTCCTTAAGGGGAATAAATGCAGTTAATAAGCACTTGGTAAGTTTGGAAGTAAGCCACATTATTCAACATAATTTTTGATAATTTTCCATTTTTTTTTTCTGGTTATTTTTACTTCACATTACCTATTTTATTCAATTTATGCATATATATGTATCAATATTGTATACACAGGTTGAAGTCGCCGGTTGCACCATTGAAGAATATCAAATCTGATCTAGTTGAAAGTAGAAGACTAGTGTCGAAAGGGTATAACACTGCAAAGCCGCTATTGCATACTACCACTTCACCTTCACCGTCTTCTAATTCAATAACAAGAAAAATTTTAACTAACGGTAGTTTAACACATCATAACAATCATCACCATCATGGCGTACACGCAACCAGTAATATGAGCAACAATAATAAAAATGACAATACCAGCAATAACACTGCTAACAACATAATTACTCCATTTGTTTCTAGTCCATCGGATTGTATAAACTCGTTGAATTATGAATCAGCAGAAAATGAATTGACCAATTCAATTATTCATGATAATTATATGATGAATGATGTCGTCGTCGTCGGCGGTGACGACGGTGAAGCCGATGGTGATGGTGATGTGAATCATTTAAAGAAATTGAAATCTGCGCAGAAAACAGAACACAAATCTTTATGGAAACGTAGTTCCTTTGGGAGTTTAACACGTCGTAGTTCATCTGTGTCGAAAACACTGCAAAGAAATAATTTCAATGGATTCAATCAATCAGATCATGATGAGAATAAACGATTGGTAATAAGCAGACCAGTGCTGTTAAGTCGACCGAATTCAAGTAAGTTATCCACTGTCTTTCTGTGTATGTGTGTATGGGCGTGTTTGTCTGTGTTGTCCGTCATTTTTTGTTTAATTGAATACAAAAGTAAATCGCTGGCGCCTGTTTAAACCACAAGACCATCTAAATATTTCCATCCAACACAAAAGTGTCGACTTTTATCCGTTTCTTGTTGTCGTAATCTCCCAATTATGTCTTTGGGTCGCGTGATATGAGCTCACACACACATTTTCAGTTGACTTTCAACCTACGACTGACTATGCATTCCATGGAGAAAATGAAGACAGAATATTGTAGAGAGTAGAGTTCGATGTCAGATAGAACGACGTTGTGTCATACCATATACGATACTGCCAATGTATATTCTACTTGAAGAAGATTCTATACAAGGAGTGAATATTTCGCAAGAAATTTCACTGAGAATTTGTTTTACTATATGTAAGCATAATCTACCTAGAATAAAGCTGTTATTATTTTATATGAGTAATTAATGGTGCCTAATAGAAAGTTCTTATTCAACTTGATTTTCTGTTGTGTTTCCCCATACTCAGTATTCGTCTTTTAAGGTTACCAACCTACGTGGCTTATTTAATCTTACAGTCAGCAAACTGATGACACCCAACCAGCATAAATTGGATTGATGACCGAAAATACCTATTGGCTCATGAAGCGAATTTTCTTTATCGGCGAAATCATCTTCACAGGCTGTACAGTATAGTAGTTGTCTGTTATTGAGTAATGGGAGGGGGAAGCAACATAATTGATACAACTGCTCGGAAGTAGTTTATAAACATAAATAATTACGCCATAGTCAATGACACAATGGAATTAAGGATCTGAAATTTGATAAGGCGAAAATTGTTTTATTCGATGACAAGTTAGGTAGTTGAGTGTCCACTTGACAGCCGTGAAGAGGGTGAGAGAATGTACAAAAGGAACATATAAGAGTAATAATAGTGAATTAATTATTTTTAAAAATAAAAGCGAACGACTTGGGAAGAGATTAAGACCACGGTAGAATAAGAGACTGAACAAACCTTTTCTGAACAAAGAGTTCAGGGTTATACTGACGAATCACCAGCGCCTCCGCCATACACAGATACCGAAAACTAATACGAGCCTGGTGAAGCTTTGTGGCCTAGGTCAACCAGGTGCTCGAAAATTAGGCTAGTGATTGTCTTACATTGTCCTCTTGCTAACCATTCCGGATAATATTTGGAGGTGCATTTGGATAGCGTGCGTTTTGTGCAGCCAATATAACTAGCTCCACAAGAGCAACTAAATTTATAAGTACACATTGAAGTGGCCGATAGTGACAGTTTGTCCTTCACACCTCCATCGATCATTTGTCAACTGCAGAAATTGATACGTAGCTCAGTCGGAAGAAAGGTTTTCTTAGCTATCTGAGTGAACAGTTCTTCCGGATGTCGGCTGCTGTAGTCTCCTCGAAAATTCTATTACAGATAGTAAGGAATAATAAAACAAAAACTTATAGGAAAATGTAACAACAAAAAAGGCAGTTGCAGTGAAAGGAATAATCTTCTTCCTCATTAGTTTTATCTGGTAAGCTGAACATCTATGAAAATATAATAAAAGGTTTTATATTTATTTCTGATTAAGGACCAGAATAAGTTTATGTAGTACAAACAGGCACTTAGAATGGGAAAATAAACTAATAAACTCAAGTTTCGACGTCGTGTGATTATAATTGATATGATTATGAACAATAATAAATTTTGTTCGAAACGTCATCCAGTAAATAATACAGTTTCATTGTGTGATACATCTAATAAACAAACTAATAAGTTAAATAACACTGTATGTATTGATGTATTTGTACAACATCAACTGTACTAAACACCCGCTTGTAAAATGCTCTCGTGAACACTATCCAGCCTAGTTAGCAAATGAAGAACGGAAATTTACTTTTGGGTCAATAACCCAGCATTAGGATACAACGCTTTCAAATCTACAAAGTGAGATCTGCTCAATCAACGCAAGTATAGTAAAGAGATCTGGGTATAAATGAAACACATTAACTGTTCGAAGATACAATTCAAAAATGTACCTTCATATTGTCTTTTTCCCATGGCTTCCAGAGCGCACTGACTTACTGCTTCAATAAACTCGTGTTACATTATGTTTATTCTTTCAATAATCCATTAATTCTCCCCCCCCCCAAATACCTACTTGTATTACGTAACTTATATATATACATATAAATATAGCTTAGTACGTGATTTTTTAAAAGAATCATTTTTGTCCTCGCCGTTACAACTGTCTTTTTTTCTAATTAGGTATTTTCCTCTGTTTACAATAGGGATATTTATTCGACTAAAAGGAATAGATCACATTTTACTAAATGAGATTTCTTTTCACTGTTGAATCTGTATGCGAAGACAGGGAATAGCTTTCAGTTGATAAGATAATCTTGATCTTGTGAATTATTAGTTACTGTACAAATCAACTGTGCGCCGTTGGTTCAGCAGCAGCATGTTCCCCAACCACCCACTTGGTATAAGGTTCAATCCTCGATCGATGCACTCCTAAACCTCACGTAATCGGTAGTAACCCCGATAAAGAGGGGAGGTTTGGTATAAGGTTAGAAACACCACTGCTACTTCAGTTTCAAAGCTTGAGGCCTTAGGTTCCATTGGGAATGCAAAGAAATAAAATGAAATAATGAATACAGCTCAACAAACGTAATGCTTCATGCACAATGATAATTCAGCGAGAGTGTATTATAAGCGTGAGAGAACTAATACCAATGACCTACTTCAAGATTCAGGCTAATCGACTAATTCAGAAGTGATGAAGAAGATTTGTGGCTTAGGGTAGATCTTATTGGTGTGTTTGTGTTCTCTGTGCTACATGGCTTAATTACGAAGCCTTCATTGTCTTTTTGGATAACATCTTTATCGTTGACTTCACTCCATACACACATCGACACAGACCAGATTTATAAGGCAATGAAAAAGAATTCACATGGACGATAGGTCGAATACTGAATCAACAAGGTAATCACTATCTGTAGAAGTGAATAGGAGGGTAAGGAAATTTCCTGAGACTACTAATCACGTTCACAGTTACCAGGGAAGACGGTCACTGTATTCACGGTGAATTTAAAAAGTTCACTTCGTGTTGAAATGAACACTGCAATGGTTGTCTAGGAAGACAAAGACCAGTTCGCGATTAAACCGTCCAACTCAGTAGACGTAACTACACCAATAGTTGATTTAGTCGTCTTTTAATGTGTAGTAATGACTGTTGTACTAGCTGCGTGGACATGATATTGAGGCCTGTTTATATTGCCATTTTTTGTCTGTGTTTTGTCTGCACACATACACGAAATAATTATACATAGTGCTTTTGGCAATAAAATAATCCAAGTTACTACTTGTGTGTCTACCTTTGTCCTGTACGTTCCGTTTTGACTTTTTGCATGTATGTGTGGGGGTGTGTCAGTCAGCAGAGAGAAGAAAGGCAGAAATTCAATTTGTCATACATTTTTAGTTTTACTTTTCTTCAAGAAAAAAGCAGACATACCTGCATTCACTAATTTATTTTCCATGTTTCTAATTAGAAATGTTTCTTGTCTTTGTCTGAAAAACTGCTTGGAATATGATTGATGTCAGAAAGAATAGTTGCGTAATTTTTTTTGTAGCTAAATAGTCTGTCGGCTTGTTTTGCAAGTAGAATGTGGCCACTGGTGTAGAATTGAATTCGATGTACACCATGTAGAAATACTACTGTTCACTGTATAATACTTGCTCAGCACTAATTATCATCTACGAAATTTGGGACAGTCTCACTAATCTGCATTTCATGGCGATACTGTCTGAGATAGCATTGAATTAGTCAGACTATTGTTAGTACAATGAATGAATCATGGTTGAAGGTGAAATAATGATCTGGGTCACGTCAGATTCTGGATCAACAAAGTTCGGTGTTCTCAAAAGTTAAGGTATTAGATTCGGCTGTTAATCACCTTATCATTTCACTGTAATCATTACGCGTAGTGCTTAGTTTTGTTGTAAATAAATGAAGCGCGACTATAACACAACACTTGTGAATTAGCTGGATCTTCTGCTGTCAATACTAGCCTGACCCTCTACCAGTTAAATGTTATTTTCCTCACTCTAATGTTTATTGATTATGGAAAAGCGCTGTTTACTTCTAGAATCTAGATGATAACCACACCATGAAGGACTGCGAACATTAGTACCAGTAGTTTTCATCTATCGATTCTTAGCCTCCTGACTGGTACTTCACAACATGGCTCAGATGTTTTTGTCTAATCACTCCTAACTCCTTATAATCTTTTCATACCTTAGTAAGGGTTGATTTTTGTGCAAGATGACATCTTAGCTACTTTGATTAATGGAGCTTCTAAATTTTATGCATCAACTGACTTGTTGTGTCACTGAGTGTCTGAGTAAAAATGCCTATACCCTAAGAACTTTATTCTTTTCATATCAGCAGGTGCAATCTCAAATGAAATTGTATTCTACTATAGATTCCCAGGTTCCGCTTTTCGTTCATAGGTTGTTAATATTGCTCTGACACTTTATATCCCTTATTTCTACCAAGTTAATGCATATTATTATGTAAACATAAGACATTCATTCGTGTATAGATATTCCTAAAAGTTATTTCGACGCTTATAGTCTGAATACAATAGAGGTCGTCGAGAAGAAAATTTTCTTCACTGCAACCGTTTTTTACAGTGGAGGTGCTTGAATATTTCTTTGTTCTCCAGTATTGGTTTGTAGAGATTTTGTTTGATTGGTTGGAGGATTTCATCATGAGATAACATCGGTTAGAGAACCATTAGAAAACCAGCCTGAGAGTACCGAATAGCTGTCTCGTCCTGGTTTGGGGCTCTTCATCAGCACGCGCCCACCACCAGGGTCCGATCCAAGCACCTTCTGGTTACAAGGCGAGCTCGTAGACCATTAGGCCACTGGGACCCAATCCAATGGCCCACAAATTCTAACTTCTGCCAATTCACGATATTGCGCGACTCAGAGGTTACAAATATTTTATTCATAGTTCATATTACTTGCAAGTAGTTGGAGGAATTACACTAAATAAAATGATGTTGGCATTAGGTATAATTTTATGTGCATGTTCTATTTCATAGCATTCTTATTCAGAATGAAATGTTTTACAAATCCATGCTTAATTTGTATTCACTTTCCCTTGAGTTTCTTTTTCTGTTGAAAAAGTTAGGTATTCATGGTAGAATTTAATACTGACTGAGACTGTTTCAATATAGAACTTTGCATAAAAGAGCAGCACTTCAAGTCGCCACACTTCATGTAGAGAAGAGAGAAGAATGTAGATTCAGAAGAACTGCAATCACCAGAAATGTACAGGAAAAAGAATAGAACCATGGGGGGGGGGTTAATGGGTTCAGGAGATTACAAAGAGTTAATTTATATGTGACATTGAGAGTGGTTTTGAACCATATTACCTGCAGTGATTGGTTCTTAGCATCCCGAGGGCTACAATCAGTCAGTCTACACCACTTTAGATGAATGGCTGAAACCACCTGTCGGGGAGTTCACTGATTGATTACACGCTTTGACTTCGGAACCCTCAACTCTTTTCCAATATAATCCTATGTCAGCTGACATTGCCTATCAAGGAAGGCTATGGCACAGTATGCGCAACACTTGTTCTTTAGCCATGTCAGTCTTTGCAGTTTTATACAGTTGTTTATCAACTAATTTTTAAGGTACCAGATATTTTGAGCAGTATACAGGAGAAGTAGAAAAGTGGATTGATTATCAAATGAAGGCTGATAGATAAATATTTTTTCAAGCGTTGATTTACAGGGATTTAATTTGACTAGTTACAGGATTTCATCATGAGCTGACACTGGTTAGAAAACCATTGGAAGACCTGTGAGTGAGGACAGATACTCGCAGCCGATGACACTAGCTAGTTGTCGAGCTATACCGTGGATTGCCAGAATTTGGAGTTCACGGGCCATTGGATCGGGTTCCAGTGGCCTAATGGTCTATGAGCTCACCTTGAAACCAAAAGGTCCTGGGTTCAAACCCCAGCTGGGGTGCGTACTGATGAAGAGTCCCAAACTAGGACGAGACAGCTATTCGTTGCTCTCAGACTGGTTTTCTAATGGTTCTCTAACCGATGTTAGCTCATAATGAAATTCTGTAACTAAATATTTTTTTTAACTGTAGAACCTGATTTCACAAGTCCGCACATTTCATACCATGACATGAAGTAAAAGCTTATAAAAGTCAGTGAAGGACTGAAGAAAAATTATACAGTCGAATGTGATAGAATACTTCATGACAGAGAATAAAAGTTAGGGGGAATGAAGGATAAAGTATGGAATGCATCTACACTATTATGTTTAATACTAGGTCAAATCAGCTGTTGTCTGTCGGTAAACGGTATGTTGTCAACCCTAACCAAGCAACATGCAATCGTTAAACAACTTAAACTATAATATCCAGTTACTTTGTGGACTATTGTTACTTGTCGATGTGATCGCCCTTACTTTTTTTCGAATGCAGTCCTACTTCTGCTGATATTTTTCTCCCATGTAGATAGATATTGAGGAAATATGTGCAGCGGCGTGCGTCTGTGGTTCAGCGGTAGGATACTCGTCAGCCATGCAAGTGGTCCGGGGTTGGACTCACTGCCGGTGCACACCTCTACCTCTCCTAGCCGGTTGTAAGTCCGACAAAGATGGGAAGGTTGGATATGAGGTTAGCAACCCCACCCCAGTAAAAAATAGTCCCACCACTACTGAAACTGCACAGCTCAAGCTTGAAGCCCTGTGTTCCACTGGGAACGCAAAGTAGTGAAATAAAAATAAGTATGCAGCAGAGACTGATTCGATACTGACCACTCACTGGTTCGTATAGTTTTAAAGAATGTTAACCGTTTAGTAGTCATATCACCGCTACTCTACTATACTTCTTGATAATTATATTGTCATTTGTTTCGGAATGTAATCCTATAAAATTATGGGTTTATTATTTTTAGTTATCTAGCCAGTTAATCATTTTACCGTTATTGGGCTTCCTTTTAAGTGTAAAGAAACCTAATCTATACTGTATGTGCGTCGGTGGTATAGCGGTTAGGACGCTCGCCGACCATGCACATGGCCCGGGGTTCGATCCCCGACCGACGCACTCCTTTACCTCGTTGAGCCAGAAATAATAGTGGTGAAGAGGAAAGGTTGGGCATGAGGCTAGCAACCCCATCCTGTAAAATAAACACTGCTACAGAAACTTCAAACCATTAGCTTGAAGCCCTATGTTCCACTGGGGAACGTGAAGGAAAAAAAAATCTATACTGTAGTTTTAACTATTTTGACAACTTATCACTTGCATATATACCTCTGTCTTCTTACTCTTTTTGTTTTTGTTTTTTTAGTTACTCAAACATCTCTAAACAAGTTACCGTCAAATTCTTCTTCATCTTCAATTATTGGTGGGTTAACCGAACCAAGCAGTTTAGGCAGTTCAACAAGTCGTGGAAGCTCACTAACTGTTGTCTCTTCTTCCAATGGTTGCAGTGGTGGTGGTGGTGGGGGTGGTGTTGGTGGATGTGATAGTAGTAATGGGGGATACGCTTCATCGGTGAATAACGTCCAAGAAGAATTATTAGCACATTCATTGAATACAGATTTTGATCAAGGCCAACAGCAACATCAGCAGCAGCAACAACAACAACCACTATCGTCAGCATCATCGTGTTATTATGAAGTATCAACGAATGCATCACTTTCACCAGCGCCTAGTTTATCATCAATGACATCAGTTTCTGGTGGTCTACCGCATTCATTAACATCTAGCATTATAAGTACAACAACGCATACAAATAATGCTAGTACAACTGCGAATACAACCTATTTACTGCCTAATTCTAGTATTACATCAACTGCCCAAGGTTGTCTACGAGCTTTACGATCCGGTGATACAGTATTTCGTGCATCAACAAATATTTCAAGTGGAACTTTAAACTCACGCAGAAAAATAAGCACATTGTCTAGAACAAGTGTCACAATGATGACAGATGAAAGATCCAGTAATTCAAGGTGAAACTATTGCTTTTTCTTTTTACATACTTACTTATTTGTTTACCCGATACTTTCGATTAATTATGTACTTTTCATCTAAAAATTTTTAAAAATCTTCCGTTAATGTTTATTTAATTAAAGAACTTGACTAAGTTTTCTCTCAGAAGGATCGACACATGAAACATGCGTGTGTCATTACAGAAGAGGTGATTTATAGGAATGTTTAAATCAAATTAATAGCACATGGATTACAATCGATTACAAGAGGATCACTCGTGGCCTACATAAACCAGTGATGAAGTTTCTAACTGTTTGGCTGGGTTGGCTGATACTGTTGGGAGTGTCTTTATCCCAGTTACTTGCGCTAAGTATATCATCATGGTTGGCGAGTACTATTCATATGCGTTATAGCCGTATTCGGCAAGGCAGATGAATCAGTCTATGATTGAGATGACTTATATAAATGAATGCCAAGTCCTCTGCCTTTCTCAACGACCAATTTTAAGTGAAATAAGATTATTTTTAAAAAGTCTTTGCAGTGATCATCAGAGCAGATAACGCTAACGATCCATAAGTCCCTGGCTGTTGATCTGAGCCACCTCGGTAGATATATATATGTCTCATGGTTATGATCCTCGAGATGTTGTAATTCTTTCCCTACCACTAGTAATAGTTTCATTTGGTTCATCTCTCTTTCTCCCTTTTTAATTTAGAATCCAAAACTTATCTCCATCTGCAACTTTGGTTAACTTGTCAGCTAAAAATGTATGTGACACTGGTGTGTTGTCTTCGTCACCACCGTCATCCTCATCATCAAGTCTACTAAGGAATAAATCAAAGTTGCTGTTCAATCGTGATATCTACCAGCCATCAAGTCAGATGAGTCCAAGTCATTCTGTGTTTTCTGCTGTTACTAATCCCCTACAGCATAAAGATTTAATGCGTACACATGGATCACATCTATCGTCATCATCTTCGTCTTCGATATCATCGCCTACTACTACTGGTCCTTTCGCTTATGATTCAAATGGACAGTATTCACAGAAAAGTATGTAGTGCTATACAAATTGTTGCTTGTATATTTTATATGAGAACTGTATTCATCACAGATTTATTGTTGTTTTTTCTTAAAAAGAAAGCTTATTGGTGATTAAGTGCTCTCTTCTTATTCCCATTACTATCTATCTGAAGGACATAGAAGAAGAAGAAGAAAAAACAGGAAGGCGGCGTACACATCATAGAATACATCATAACAGTGTATCCTATCAGAAACACAATGAGATGATAAGTAGAACAAGATAGAAAATATCCGAAGTTCCGTAACTGACAATAAAACCAATCGAAAATATGTTTTAGAATTATGTAGAGGAATTTTAATACCAGTATATGTGGCCAATAAGTATCTGATTACTAAATACCTACTTCTCTTACGGAATCGTCAAGTAAATAACGATGATCGATGGTATTATATATTTTGGTTGAAAGCATACCCCTTCCCACTACCGGCTTTCTACGGTGTTTTCGTTTCCTCTCCTACACACAAAATATGCATTGGAGTAGACTGGAAATGTTTTGAAAATCTTAGATGGAATAAAAACTCTGTTTGATTCTAAGACATAACTGCACGAATGAATAAAGCTGCATAGAAAGGAGTGGATTTGATCCATTTTTCTGGATGGAAAACTAGACAACTCTGTAATGATTTAAGCAGTCCGCTAAAGATATGGATGTGTCCTCCTCCATCATTGCTCAATGGCTTTATTTGTTACCCTGTATTCCCCATGAAGCCGTCAGCTATATATATATATATATATATATATATATATATACAGGCATTAAATTTAATAATAGCATAGTTAAGCATTGCCGCGAGAAGTATTTCTAACAGGCGGCCACCTTCGCTTCCTGGGTAGAAAACATTAGCAACAAGGAACTCTGGCATTGAACCACCCAGACCCAACAAATATGCTGAATAAAATGGAGATGGATTGGTCATACGCTGAAGAGACTGTCGATCGACGTCGTATTGAAGCGAAGAGTTGAACACTGGAGGAGATTGTTTGAGGAGAAAATGAAAGCTTATGGTCATTCGTAGAGCCAGATAGAAGGGACGGCAATGTAACCAAACTGAAGCTTTGTGTTCCTCTTGGAACCCAAGGGAATAATAATGATAATAATAATACTAGTTAAACTTCCAAAATTTGATTATATATATATATATAAATTTTGTTTTATTTCTTTTGCTAATAAAAAACGGAAAAGACAATAATCAAACAAAGTCGAATCACACTACACTGTCACAACCGTCAGCTGCACCTCAATCACCACTAACAACTAGGACAACATCAACAAAAGATGGTGAAAACAGTGATAACAGGTCTAGCATGGATTTAGACTGTGTTGTGGCATCATTTCTAGGCAAAGATTTTGCTGATTTCCTGAATAAAGACATCAATATATCTGAGTCTTCATCGTCATCTTCATCGTCAACATCTTCCAAAGCGCAAATGAGTAAAACTCGAAGTAAGCGTGTGTGTGTGTGTGTGCGTGCATGTGTGTTTCTGCATGTTTTCTTCCTTTTTTTAATGAATAATTCTAGTCTACTGTTTGATCACAGATTGATGTCAGTTAGAGAACCATTGAAAACCCGGGAGTACTGGATGACACCTGTTTCCTCCTAGTTTGGGACTCTTCATCGGCACGCACCAGTGACCTCATCAGGAGTCGAGCCTTGGGCCTTCAGCTTGCATCAATCCGTTATCAAACTTGAAGCAAATCAAATCCCTATAAACTCATCCTAGAAAATTCCAGTTCAATTTTCAACGTATCAATTATGTTACTGCAGCTTAAATCTTTTTTTTTCACTGTAGACATTTAAACACACTAATTACATAATTCGCATAGTAATAGTAGTGATTGAATTTGTGTTCCTTTCTAGACACAGAGTTTGTAGAATGGAGTTCCTTGTCGAGGGATAAAGTATTATGCATAGAAATTAGTATTATTATTACTGTAGGATTATATCATATCGTCGATGGCCTGCTTAGAACTTAGGCTACCGGAAACCTCCATCAATATATTGCGTATAATTCCCCTTATTCAATTTGTTTAAATCTAGCCAAATATGACCTCTAATTGTATTGTTAACTCCGGCGAGTATTTAAAATGATAACGACATACTGATTTGCAAGTTTCTACTAAAAGTATTGTCCTTTATGGCAGCTTATCTTAATATATATGACTTAACTGTTCCTGGCTTGTGTCCTTGGGTTACAAAATGTACTCCTGAACCTTTTATAATTGACATTCTACTAAATGGCGTGCATTTCTCCAAAGAGAAAAGATGTCATCATAATGATGAAATGGTTTGCGCTTCAGGACAGATAAAGCTGTGTCACACTGTCTACTATCAATTAATATTTTATTTGAAGATCCTGAATGTAGAGAATATTTCATGCAATAAACTCGACTGAAAATTCTCTAGACTTATATAAACATTCTTCAGAATAAAACTGTTAGCATTACTATTGTTATGTTTGAAAAATCACTCCTTTTTTGTCTCTCCCTCTCTCTCTCTACTTGTGCACTAGTTGGATTGGATGCTCAAACAAATTTATACAGATCACCTTTCAAATCAAGCCTATCTAGGCTACCGGTATGTTTAGTGTCTACCGTTGTTTTGTTTTATCATTCTTATTACTGTATTCTGGCTGTCTTTGTGAACGTTTTATTGGACGATACTACTTATTACTAATTATAGTATTCAAATCGACTAACTAGTCAGTCAGAGCTGTTCCGGCCAACTGATAGAATTCAGTCAAAACCACTAGGGGCTACTTCCCAGTGATCAATCATTACCACCATAACAAGAGGTCAGTTGTGGCTCGAACGGATCGGCACTTATGTCTGTTACGATGACACTGGACCTAGTTCCAGGACTTATTTTTTTATTTATTTTATTTTGATTACAGCTTGATTCCACACCGTATTTTCAGTACAGGTATGGAATTTTCAGCATGGATATCGGTAGCCCAAATTTACAGGCCGACCATAGATATCGGGTGTGCGCCGGCAGGGGATCGAACCCTGGACCGTGTGCATGGTCCTAACCACTGTGCCGACTGGCTGCAAGCATCTAACCGGGAGACATAATAATGCTTTATGATGATGAGTACTTCGAAACGTGCTATTATGTTGTAGCACCTGAGTATGACCATCTTTATTCCTTGTCGTCTTTTAGATTTCTGTTGATAAGCTCGGTTCCAAAAGAGCGAATCAATATGCCTACCAAGTGCTCATTTGATATGGGTGGTTTATGACCACTCATGTCAGTCAGTCGGTAGTATGTAGTATCACTCTAATTTCCTTATCTTCTATGAACAATAATCTTTCAAATAAGAACAAATTAGTTCAGCGAAGAGTCTCTTTTCGGCGAATTCATTCAATTAGCTGTACAGTCGCAAATATATATACAATTATTTTGTGTGTATGTGTGTGTACATTAGGTTTGTCGAAATCAAAATAACAGTTAGTGTGGGTTGTCGATTACATCATCAAAAAAATAAAGAAATTAAAATGTGTGATTAATAATCAAAGTTGTAACTAAGTGGGGTGAAGATTGGTAAGATGTGAGTAGGGTTACCTAATATAGACATGTTTAGAAAGATTAGATGTTAGTGAAGGAGTATGAAGACAATTATGAAAATAAACTAGATAATAGGTGAAAAGATTGAGTGGGTTAGTTACTAAAAATTATTATACGAAAATTGCAAAAAAAATTTGATAACAAAATGTTGATGACAGATAAACTTGAAATTAAACCCACGGTAGTAGTACGGGGTGGAGAAGTTTCTTCTGTGTGCATAAATCAGGCTTTTCTATCCAAATCGCTAAGGCTTCGGCAATACAAAGTATACGGAAGCTTGTCGATTTTGGAAGGCTTCTTTTGACTTTATAGATGACTTTGAATGACTTCTCTTTGCAAATCGAATGACCAGTGTTGAGTATATGCTCAATAATGGCGCTCCTTATTGCTCCGTTGTTACCTTTCCGTAGCCAGGTGGGATAGTGTTCTTGAACTCTTTTAGATAAAACTCGCATTGAACGACCTATATACCTCGCTCCGCAAGAGCAGGTGAATTGGTAGATACGCATGAAAGTGGTCAAATGCGATAGTTTATCTTTAGAGTAGTTGAAGAACAATGGCCGGGAGGGAAATGTCAGTCGTAGTGTGGCAGCGAAGAATGTCCTTCTGAGAGCAGTAGATATCCTCTTCTTCAAGGTGTCAGCCGGAAGGTCACCTTTGAAGGGTACATTCATGTAGACCATCTTCTTCTGCACTGTAATGGGTTGTTCTTTGTAAGTCTTAGGCTTAATATCTTTCATTTGGTTTCACAATATACAAATTGTTATTGTCTTACACGTGATTTATAATGATTGCCCATTAATGAACAAATGAACCGATTGATATGTAAGCTTACACTGAAAAGTGCATGATGTCAATTCGCTGAACCTTCTACCCACCTTAAGAGCACACAAAACAATGGTGCTATAATGGACAAGCATTAATGTGAGGAAAGACAAGGAATGATTACATGCAGATCAGTTAAAATGTTTGGGATTTCGACGAAGACAAATTAAATTTCTAACCATTGATCCTAAGCATCTGGATGATGATCCCGCTCAAATAATCATATCCCCTTATATATATGATTAGCAGATCGAAAGTCATGGTTCTCAAACGCGTGGATGTTATGCTTTGTTTTAATTGGAATAACATTAGGCTAATTCTGACACCTGTAGGCAAATTTGGGCATGAAACAAATTCATGAGTGCATCCAACTCATCTGAAGAGGTCTAGACTCTCTGTTAAAGTCAAAATAATAATCATAATCAAAGTGAGTGTGAGTTCAATCATATCGGTATAGATTACAGGATTTCATCGTCACCACTGATTTCAACTCATGATGAAATCCTGTAACCAATCAAATCTACTCCCTGCAAAACTAATGCTTGAATATCGATATATATTTGAAAAATAAACATCTTATAATCATACACCTTCATAACCTATACTTAATATTATTATTAAGACACGAACTTGATTTATTATGGGCGCCGACAAAATCTCATAGTTTCCAGGAGAGCTGAGATACTGTCTGAACTCCAAAGTCGAAGCAGGTGATTGTCTTAAGGCAGCATACCCTGAGCCTTTGACTTGAAGTTTGGCCCACTAGGCAGTGAACCTACGTTCCTATTGGTTGCTAGTGTCCAAAACAGGTTCATATGCCATTCATTACGTGTGGATTGTAGAGTCCAGACACACCGTAGGTTTGGAATCAGAGGTTTCTAGCTCCCCCAGATGGACCGGCGTCCACCCCACCAGTCCGATTCTAAGTGTTGGACATTCTCATTTGCCCTTTGATTTTTGTGTGAGTGACAATTGTGTACTCCGTTTAGACTATGTTAACTATTATCTGCATTTTGTTTTCTATTTTGGTTTCTTTTTCTTTGTATATTAGCGAGGTGGTAGTCAACGTGATAATAATAATAATGGGGATAATGGAGAAGATGTACTTGCTATTTAATAATAATAATAATAATAACACGTCCACACACACACACAAGCGTTCAAAGTCAAACCCATAAATATTAATTTCATATGAATATCACTTATGAAGAAAAAAAGTTGTAATGATGATATTTTTCTTCAGTTGCATTTCACACAAACATTTCCCATCTTCTACTAATTCCTTTCGTTTCGCTTCGATAGACAATTGTTCCCTGTGTTTTTTTCGTTACCATTATTACTGTTATTATTCATAAATGTGAGGACAATTCACTGTCGCGGTTGTCGTTTATTGTTGCTATTACTTTTCTGGTTGTTTCATGTTTCTGTGTTTTAATAACCATATCTCACCTTCCACAAAAATTCACTGATCATCTGTCTGTCTATCTGTGCGTCGAGCTATTCACATACAATTATTTCTCTATATATTTATCCATTTTAAAGATATCCATATTACAACAGTGCTTATTTATTATCTACATCAATTGAATTCAGTATCTATCTATCTCTAAGGCATTGAGTTCAGCCTCATGTGTTTTTCTTCCCTATTAATGGTCTATCTTTCTATATTTCCCTGCCTAATGTGCATTCTACAAAAGATACTGACATGTCAGCATACTCTAAATTTCTTAGTCTCTCATCCTCCGACATCTGCTCCGATCGACAGTGGTGGTAATACAATTGTGTTACTGAGTAAATGTACACTTATCGTCTTAATGTGAGTATGTGTGTGTGTGTGTATACGTGTATGCGCATATAATTCCGTTGATTGTTACTTACTGCCTTCATAACCCACTCAAACTTCTACTTCACTCCACCCCCGGTGGCTTTGTATAATGAATCTTATCTATACAGAAGCTTTGTGTGTGTGTGTGTGTGTGTGTATTTATGTGTGAATGGTACATACAATAACACATTTCATGAAATATACATAATATTATACAAAATACAAGATACTAATCAAATGTTCTTCTCTAGTCTATCTATATTATAGCCCTTTTTTCGTCTTCACTAGGCATATATACGCCTAACTAACCTTCATGATTAGTAATACTACTACACTTACTACTTAACTAATTCTTTTCTTATCTATGATACTACTACTACCACTACTACTAACGATACCACTTATATATGACTTTTTTCTATCTGTGTGACCAAATAGGAAGTATTTGTTTTTAAATATCATTTCTAGTGTGTTCTTTGACGCCTTTTTCGAAATTTGGTGAAAAGGTGCCCCTTTGGTGTGTGACAAATGCAGGGAGAGAGAAAGAGGGAGTCACCCACGAAGGTTTATAATCGCATCATTATTATTATCGTTATTATTTATATTTATTACATTCATCCTTTCCTTTATATCCAGAAATATTAAAAAGTTTTTATAGGTATACCTACATATGAATGCCATATTGATGAAAAACACCCATACTTCTTCTGAATACAATGCGATTTTTATTGTTTATTATTATTATTTTCATTATTATACTTGGGATTATCATCATCATCATCGTTATGAGTGCATTTCATATTTGCCTTTTCTGCCCTTTTCTCGCCTTCCTTTTTTATTATCCCCGTGGTTTCGACCTCCCCTCCCCCCTCCTCCCCATACTCTATCACTCTGTCTCTTTCTGCTTATCCAACTTTATAGTCAAACTCAAAACGCTTCAGGTTTTCTCTTTTTTTATCTTGTCTGGTGTTTTATGTATGTATGTTTAAAAAATACCAAACGTATGCTAAGCTCCTCCTCTGTCTCTGTTTCTCGCTTTCTCTCTCATTGGCTTTTAACTCTTGACAAATTTTTAAAAAATACATAATTGGTAAATATGAATAAAAATGGTTAATTATGATGTCCTAAGTGTTATTGTTATTATTATTTGCTTTTTATATAGCTCAAGAGTAAATAGGCTTGGAACTTTACATAAAAGTTCATCAATTCAAGTTCTTTCACATTTGTGGATTTCATTTTTTCTTTTTTTTAAATTAGAAAGTAAACACAAGTTAAATAAATCCTAGGCTTACTCATCAGTGGTATTATTTACACATGCGGCGGCCATATATCGTGTTAATTAATCGATGAAAGTTAAAATCCATTGGTCACTGCATTTCAACCTCGTGAGTTTCATGATTAGATAGATATCGGTTTGTGACTTCAACGACTCAGGAATTGATTTATTACCAGAGTATAATCTCGTTGACTTAGAATATGCGGATGATATAACCCACCCTGCTGGGTGAAGACACTGGCATAATGTAGAGTCTTGTCAACACCTTGAACCGCAATCTACGAATGTTTGACATGCGATTCGCTCCGTTCAAATGTAAAATGATACTACAGGACTGAACTACATTGACTCCTAGATTAAAGATAGGGAATGAATTGGAGTGGTAGGGCGTGTTGACCACTTCACTTATTTAGGAAGCTGCATCAGCCAGCTGGTGACATACTCTGAGGAAACCATCAAGTGACATCACTAGACAAGCAATTGCTCGAGTGGAACCCGAAAGGGAAGCGGCGAGTTGGTCGTCCAAGGGTGACTTGGAGGAGGTCATGTGAAGAGGAGATGAAAATGTGTGGGCAGACTTGGAGCCAGGTGATGACTCTAGCAGAGAACCGAACGCAGTGGAGACGCACGGCTGAAGCCCTATGTTCCTCTAGGGATTAAAGGAAACAATAATAATAATCAGCCAGTGCCAGCGGGTTGGTCTCTGACGACATCCCAGTACGGATACAGAAGGTTTATTTAGCATATGCCGGCTTACGCCATCTTTGGCTTAGTAGACGTGAAGTCCGGTTGGTTATCGATCAAAGGGTTGGTGTACTGCTCAGCAATTTGCTCTGTCCTCCTTTATGGCTGTGAGACCTGGTCATTTAGAGTGGAAGACATGAAAAGGCTCGCTCTCTTTGATCATAGGTGCCTGCGTTCTATCTTTCGTGGTAGGTGTAATAAGGTTGAACAGTATTGAAGTTAGGCGTCTAGTGGTAGATAGGGAAGGGAAATCAGTTGACGAATTTGTGAAGTTGCACCGATTGGGGTGGTTAGGACATGTGCTACGCATGCCTAGCCATCCATTGCCTTCCTCGACGACAATACTAGCTGACATAGGATGGCTCAGGTTGGAAAAGAGCCAGTGGTGGTCAAACCAAAACATCGCTTCATCAGTCAGGGAAATCCGTAACAGTTAGTTTAAGCCAGCCAGTCAAGTAGGGAGGTGTACACTTCTTGGCTGGTTGGGATCCTCGGGGTGGTTGGCTTGACATAGTTGATGATATGGTTCGAAATCGTTCTCAATGGCACAGATGTATTCACTCCTTCTAATTCGTGATATCCAATAAAACCCTATTGTTATTGGATATTACTATTGTTTTTCCCTCAAACTTCTGTTTATTATTTCTCATTCGAATCACTCTTCTCTTGCTTCGTGTACTACATGGAGGGCGAGTGGCAACTCGAACTGCTGCACGTCTGTTCATAGTTCTATGTTGAGACCAGTCAGTCGTGATCTGAATTTACTAGTTTCGATCCCTAATGGACTCATAGGAAACCACACTACTGAAGAGATTTAGACGTGATGGAAATATTTGCATAATGATCCTTGGTTTCCAATGATTTACTTTACAACTGATTTCAGTTAGTGACGAAACCTTGTTTTCTAGTTCCAAGTTAGAACGGATTTGAAATTAGTCAAACCCCTGTAAACCAACACTTGATATCTACATTGGAGAGAATGATATCAGTCAAGAATTAAACGGTATAGGTGAATAGAGAATAAGTCGACGAAATTCAGTGATTATATTTTAAGATTCCGAACTAGATAATTAGTCGCCAAATGTAATCTATTGTAGATTGATCTTGAGGTATGTCAAGGATAGTGTATAAATACTTTTGTTGAAATGTCAATATCTTTATCACGGTAGTCTACACTTTCATATGTGTCTCAAGCTAGCAAAAAAAGATTAATGTTACCATTTTCCACTTTTTCTTGCAAACGAGTAAGGCTAAATATATTACAGATATGTCAAACCCATCTTGGCTAATAAAGATTCATAACTTCATCGATTAGATTCTATTTCTTATTGAGCACCTTACATCTAATCGTAATACTATTCACCGTATAATTTCACAACAGACGAAGGTATCCATCATAGTGAAAGATTGGAGAAATTATATGTTCGACAGCTGACCGCAGTCTCTCAGAACTGTGAACTAGAACAGGCCAATTTATTTGTTGTTTGTCGGTATTTTATTTGAATAGCTCAGAAACTGTTACAGTCATTGTGTTCATGCATAGACATTGTCACCAATTAATCTGTTATAGTTGGTTTAATTCCTCAGATACGTGAGGCGGTCATATCTTAGCGAATCTAAGTGATGAATTCTCTTCGCATGACTGAGTAGTATATTTCCACACGACAAAAGCACTGGAAGTGATCTTTACTCAAAAATATCCAAGCTAGAAAAAGTAACAAAAAAAATATTCAATTAAATAACAGAGATTCTATGTGTCATTAACCAATCAGAAATTAGCAGTAGGTGTGGATACATTCGTTTGGCTGACGAGTCCCAAGTGGGACGAAACACACTAACTCACCAATAGCGTTTACACTGGCTGTCCAATGACTAATTAAAAAGGGGAGAAGTGTAACATGTAAGAAAATGCTTAGGACTTTTTTTGTAATAAGAATACAAGCTGATCAGCAACATTCGAATAGAACGTGTTGTCGATTGTCGCGGATAAAGAGAATATATTGAACTGTTCGTAGATGTGAAAAGTTATGCTGTCGGTTAAAAGTTATAAATCGTGTCTGTCCTTATTTTAAAGTATATATATATATATATTTGCAGTGAGACTTATAAGAGACAGTGAGTTGTAGGGATGTAATTGATTCTGAGGCTCATTTTGTTACGAAGCTGCATCGAATGGCCGGTGGTGCTATGCATATTTTAAATTGATAGAAGATAGAATTTACGGGTGATTGGATGTCAGTCCAGTAGCTGACCGTTCAACACACTTGCCTTATAACCTGAAGGTTAAGAACGTTGGTACATACTGCTGAAGAATCTCAAGCTAGGACGGAACAGCTGTCCAGTACTCTCTAGTTTTGTAATAGTTCTCTAAATGATCGCCGTTTGTGACGATATCTACCTTGTGTCATTATCATCTTTTATTTTGTATAATTAGATGAACCTTTTTGTCAGTTTTTTAAAATTAATTAACTCCCCTTGATGTTTATGTTCACGTTTACCTGTGATTCATGAAATGACTAATCCTCATCATTATTAGCATATGTATATAATTATCACTTTAAATAGAGATCATTGAAAACTTAAAATGTAAGTAGGATGATCTATGATAATTAACTTGATTTTTAATTCTTCGTATATGCCCTTGGGCATACAGTTTAAGTGCTTTCACAATGAAATAAGAAAAGTTACTGAATGAACACTCGCTTAGACATTATTTGATAATATGCAAACAGTGATGTTAGATTCTGTGAGTTGGACAGTTGAATTCCGAAGGTGTTATGGTCTTGTGAGGGGCTATAACCCATTGGATTAGGCATTTGATTGACAATTTCGTTTCACCTACAATGATTTAACCAAACACGTAATGTATTATAAAACCTTATAGTAGAATAGATATAGTTATTTGTCAACTGTATTAACAATTGTACTATCTCCAAATAACTTATCACTATTATCCTAGACAAAATTATGTATACAAAAGTTAAAAAGACAAAAGCTAGACGAATTTCTTCATAGGAGTCCTTGGCTAGTCTATCTTGGTCAGTCAAAATGTTGTTGTTGTATTACCACCGTCAACAAAAAATGCAGAAATCCTTGACACAGAAGTGATAAAGAGCTGGTATGTTGCTGTAAGGATTCGGACCTGCGTTATTGCAGTCACAATACAATGTTGTAACCACTAGACCACTGTGACCGTCAATTCCTATCGTCTAATGTGTCTATTCCGTGAAATAAGGAGCTCTAGAGTTTCCTTTTAAAAAATTGACATTTACAGCAATCTGTAACCCATCTTAATCAATGCTGAAGTCATAGACGTTACCACTGGACTTTTCGGGCTCTCGACTGACCTGTTGTACTGTAAGGTAGGCATTGATTAGTCCATAGAGTATAATAGCTAACGTCATGGGTTTAGTCCTCGGCATTAGTGCAGACTGAATTCTGCCAGTCACTTTCGCAATGCAGCCACCAAGCCAAGTGACTCAACATTATGGTGCACCATACGAAATCAATTCAAATTCATTTAAACAAACTGTTGAACCAATTTTGTTGGGGACTTCATCAATACGCCAGCCAGGCAGAAGTTTTGCATGATTTTAGAGTGTGATGGGATAGTGAGTAGTGTTTACCAGGGATCAGTTCTCAGTAAATCCTAGTAACATAATTTTTGATTATTAAGAATTTTCATGTTTCCTATCTTCCTATCTTCAAAAAACTTCGTGTAACGCTAAATTTCTTCCCAGTAATTTATGTATTTCTTCCTTCGATGAACGTAAAAGTAATAATGGGGACGTGGAATGTTCATATAATATACGAAGCTGGGAAAGCTGTCCAGGTTGCCGAAGAAATGAAAAGATATTGTATAAAAGTGTTCGGAATCTGAGAAAGCAGGTGGAATGGATGTAGAGTATCGAAACTATTAACTGGAGAGTCAGTAATACACTTCTGTCACCCAGATGACAAACACGAACACACTGAGACAGCGAGTGGCTATCATGATGTTACCAACAGGAGGTAAAGCTCTAATGTAATGGGAACCGCTCTCCTCCAGGACTATGACAGTAGGATTCAACTCAAAAGAAAGTACGTTTACAATCACTTAATGCTACCCATCTACAAATAACTCGGAACAATAGGAGAAGGAAGATTTTTATGGACAACTGCA